CGTGGTGCTCCCGGGCAGGGAAAGTCCTCGACTTACGACCGGTTTAGTCCTCGACTTACGACCGGTTTAGTCCTTGACTTACGACCGGTTGGGGGTCGCGGCATTAAAAAGGTTGAGAACCACTGTATTAGCCAGATATGGACAAGGAGCCTTTTGACCCTTCAACTTACGCCAGTGTTTCTCAACTTTGACAATTTTAAGGCATGTGGACTTCAACTCCCAGAATTCCACAGCCAGTTGAAGTCCACATGCCTTAAAATTGAAGTCCACATGCCTTAAAATTGCCAAGGTTGAGAAACACTGACTTACGCCTTTCAAGGCCCTTTCAGATGCCACTCCAACGTTGCAACTTACCTGAAGCAAAGGCCCGCGGGAAACTGGCTCCTCGGGAGACCGAGGGTTGCCCACGGGCGCTTCTGCGTGAACCGGAGGGAAAGAAAAACCGGCAAAGAAGCAAAGGCCACTGTCCGTTCAGAGGAGGCCCCGCCGCACAAGAGGCTGAGAGGTTAAGAGGCGAGCGAGGCCTCCTTCTCCTCCTCCTCTCCACGTTCAGCCCAAACCCGAAACCGACGGAAAAACCAAGCCCAGGCCGCGTCGGCCTCTCCCCAGCAGCATCGACTTACCTGGGCCGCGTTGAGGGAGCTTGACGACAGAAGACCACAACGGCGACAGCCGCCGACCTTTGCTCGCTCGCTCGCTCGCTCGTTCCTTCCTCCCTCCCTCTCGTCTCCTCTCAACCAAGCGGAAGTGAGCGCTGTTGTCACTTTGCCACTACATCCGTCTTCCTAGAGAGAGGAAAGATGGGAGAGAGAGAAAAAAAACCCTGGTCACGTGATAAGGTCGCCAGCTAACCAGGCTCGCGATCCTATTGGGCAGCTCGAGAGAGCACGTGATCTCAACCTTCCATTCCCGAGCCTTACCTCTTCCCGCGCCGAAATAGGCTGGGATTGTGCACGTGACGTTCCCTTATTCTCCAACTGCGCGGCCTTCCTCCTCCTAAAGGTGGTGTTTTCCGTCCCCCCCACACACAGCATCTCCTGGTGGTGGGAGGAGAAAACTACACGTTGGATTAAACTGGATTTGCGTTTTGCGCTTTGCTAGCCACGGGAGAAGTTTTGCAGTTTGGTATTTTGCCCCAATACAGAATAATAGAGTTGGATGGGAACTTGGGGGGGGGGGTGTCTTCTGATTCATCTCCTTGCTCAAGCAGAAGACCCTGTACCATTCTGGACAAATGGTTGTCCAATCTCTTCTTAAAAATCTCCAGTGATGAAGCATCACAAATTCTGGAGGCAAATTGTTCCATTGATTAATTGTTCTGACAAGAAATTTCTCCTTAGTTCTGAGTTGGATCTCTTCTTGATAGGTTGCATCCATTACTTCTTGTCTTGTCCTTAGGTCCTTCGGCAAATAAATTGACACCTTTTTCACTGTGACATCCTCTCATATGTCGGAAGACTGCTATCGTGAACCCTGGTTCTTATATGGCTTAAGTTTCTGGTCCTTAAGAACACAAACAATATTTGAAAGATGATGGCCAACAGATTGATTTAAGATATCCACTTATGAAGCATAGGGCAATACATCATTCTTTCACTAGTAAAATTAAAATAGTGTGGAAATCCCAGCGAATTTTAAAACCAACCTAAACAAGCCAAGAGTCTGCAGTATATTTTGAAGTTGTACTTTTGTGATACTTATCCATATATATTTTATCCATGGTTTACAGCATCTGTTTGCAGGACATACATAATCTGAGTTCAGGTAATGCACCCGAGGTAGATGTGATTGACCTCATGACACTGTTGTACAAACCCAGCAAGAATTTTAAAAAAGGATGCACAAAAGTAACCCCCCAAAATCATATTGAGCAGGTGGTTGTTGGTGGGTATGTGTGTGTGTGTAATGTGATGAATAAATAAATAAAACTTTCCTCTAAATCATTTATATTGTAGGCTCCAGTGTCCTAAAATGTATCAATCTGAGAACAAGATCAATATTGCAAGACTAAACAATTTACAGAATTTAAGCATGACATAAGAAAAAAAAAGAAATGTGACCAAAACTGGAACATTCATTCATGCTACTTGTGTTTTATATAGGGGAATAATAATGGCATGCATCCAATTGTCAGACAGATCCAGTCTCCACACGCATATTAAACTAGTTCCACAGCCATTCTATCAACAACCACATGCATATTCTATTTTTCCATTGTGCTGTCTAAACCTATAGCTTTACAATTTTTCAAAATTCTAACAGTATTGAGTATTGGATAGACTATAGAATGATAAAATAAAATTGGATAGATAGTTTTTGCAGATGTTTTATTATACCTGAGCTAGGTAACATCACTGATGATGTTATCTAGTTTGGATAATGAAATGTCTGCAAGAAAACAACCAAGCTCAGGGAGCACCAAGGACCCCTCAAAACTAAAAATGATTTGAGGGAATAAGAAAACAAAACAAACTTTTTAAAATACAAATCTTTAAAACGTGAATGTTTATCTTGAAGTATATTTGTACTTCAAGGGACTTGAAGTCCTGACACCATCTATCAAAAAGAACCCACAACACACAAACCACTTTTTGAGAATACTGGCTCATAAAAAAAAACGAGTTCCTGCCATAGTAGTAGAGGGTAGTATGACTATACTGCAAGTCATCAACAGAACCAGCTCAGAGTTAATGGCCTCGTTCTGAGAACTTTGCTACATTCTTTAAAGATATGCATGATAATTAAATCCATCAGTTCAAAACAGATTAATTTTCCTGCCCTTACAGTGTTGTGTAGTGGGAACAGTGAGACATTGAAGACACGGAGTTGAATTAACAGCTCTTTATTAGTTCTCACAGAAGCAAGCTCTAGCAGCTGCTTGACTTATATTTATACGGACCGCCACTAGGTGGCGGCCAATCAGTTTAAAGTATTCATTCCCGCCTAAAACAAAGGCTTAAAGTTATACAGACAGTCTATAATTCAAATAGAACAAACAGTTAACTGTTTTTATAACAGACCTTATGAATTGCTTAATACATAACATACAGAAAGATGAGCAGTTTCATAGAAATTGTGTGCTGAAATAGTCTCTGTCTCTTAAGATACATGGGTCAGTCTGACCTTGCTACAGGTTCTGTTTAATGTGAAGAATCTTTCTCTGTTTGAAAGGATGTTCAGTTCAAGTCCAAAGGGAGAACAAAATCCTTTCCCCCCCCAGTTGTTGCAAAACATAGGCTGTAGATTGAATCACAGCTATACAGATCATTTCCCCACATTGTCCTTCAATATGACAAGACCTAGACCTCATATTTCTCCATATTTTGTGATTAATTTAAGACTTTTTGGTTGTTATTTATTTATTTAGTGTATTGGATTCAAAGCAATTAAAACTGCAGAACATAGCTAACAAAGAAATATGTTTTTTTGCTTTTACAACTATTCATTTAGAGACAATTCAAAGTTACAACAGAACTGAAAAAAAATGACTTATGATTAGTCCTCACATTTACAACTCTCCCAGCATCCTCATAGTCATGTGATCAAAATTTAGGTGCTTGGCAACAGGCATGTATTTTCACCAGTTGCAATGTCCTGAGTCACACAATTGCCATTTTGCAAACTTCCCAGCTGGCTTTCAACAAGCAGAGTCAATGGGGGAAGTTCGATTCACTTAAAGATCACATGATTATGTGGGAAGAATCCAGAGAAAGAAATATTTTGGGGAATATTAAAAAGGCAGAAACTTCTCCTACCCCCCCAGCCAGAAAACTCAGCAGAGGCCAGCTTTTAGAAATGCAAATTCAGTAATCCTTTCAGAAAGGTTGGAGCCTTCCAGCTAGAAACTGAAGAGATTAGGAAGACAAAGACCCCTAAAATCTACATACCCTACCCAAACTCTAAAAGACATGACCTTTGGGCAGTGGTGGGATTCATATATGTGAACAACCAGTTCTCTGTGTGGATGCTGCTTCCGAAAGGCCATTCTGGGCCTGGGCAACAAAAAATTAGCTACTGGTTCTGCCAAAGTGGTGTGAACTGGCTGAATCCCACCACTGCCATGACACAGGAAATACAAAGCCTCAAATAGGAACAGGAAACAACCTCAAAAGCCCCAGAAGGTATAAAAATTCACCACTCCCAGCTACATGTGGTCAGCTTTCCCAGAGCCATCTTTCTGTCTGGCTCTGCTCTTTAATAAACTACAACCTTCTTTCTAAAGCAGTCTCCATTTTGTTTATTACCAGCTTGGACTGGACCCTGATGAAGATTTTTCTTTCAACAATTAACTTAATGACTGCAATGATTTACTTAATAACCATGGCAAAAATGATGGTAAAATAGTCCCAAAGGTGCTTTTTTATTGGCCAGAAAAGCACCTTTGGGACAATAATGACCTGGATGACTGAGAATCTCCATAGATGGTAAAACGGGATACAACTCACTTAACATTTGACTTGCTTAGCAATGAAAATCCTGGTCCCAAGTTATGCACTGGAGACAAATTCCTTGTGTCCAATCACACGTGGCCAATAAAGAATCCCATCCTATCCCATCCCATCCCATCCCATCCTATCCTATCCTAATTTTCTATTCTATGCTATGCTATTCTATGATGTGGTTGTAAGTCAAGGATTACCTGTAATGCTGTCCCAGGACCTGTTGGAAAAGTCCAGTCTTCAAGGTTTTCTGAAGGACAATAGTTGCCCACAATAACAATGACCATATACCTTCGGTAAAAATACTTGAGTTGCACAATGTTGGGCCTTTACAAAACACCAGCGGAGAGCTGTGTTTTTCTCTTGGCTGCCCTAGATTGGCTGTTAGGATTTTTGTAGCCAAGTTCTGGTAGCTCTAGTGTGGGCCCTCACTTTAGGAGAAGGGATAGGATTAAATATTTGGTTACAGGTAGCCCTTGACTTAAAATAGTTTCTTTAATGATCATTCAAAGTTACAACACCGTAAAAAGTGACTTATTACCATTTTTCTCACTTACAAGCATTGTCATGTGATCAAAATTTGGATGCTTGTCAACTGATTCATATTTATGACAATTGCAGTGATCCAGGATCATGTGATCACCTTTTGCAACCTTCTGACAAATCAATGGGGAAGCCAGATTCACTTAACAACCAGGTTACTAACTTAACAACTGCAATGATTCACTTAACAACTGTAGCAAGAAAAGTTATAAACATTATAAAATGGGGCAAAACTCACTTAACAACGGTCTCGCTTAGCAATGGAAATTTTGGGCTCAATTGTGATTGCAAGTCGAGGACTACATATAGTTGGGTAAAAATCTATTTCATGATAGAGAAATGACTTGCTATACTTTGGTGGCTATCACTCCATTGGAGGTCAGCAAAGATACACTATACCAGGGGTAGGCAACCTTGGCTCTTTTATGACTCATGGACTTCAACTCCCAGAATTCCTTTCCCAGCCAGGGGAAAGGGAGAGGTTTCCAAGTTGAGCCATGCTGGCTCAGGAATTCTGGGAGTTGAAGTCCACGAGTCATAAAAGAGCCAAGGTTGCCTACCCTTGCACTATACAATTCTGATTCTGGGAATTCATGGTTAATGTTGCTGGTCAGAAGGAGTTTATCATCAGAAGCTTAGTGGCTTTTGGTGTTTTGATGCTCTTAGTAGAGCTCGCCAAGTTTTCCTCCTGAGGGTGTTGTCTGGGCAAAG